TTTTTTCCCCCCCCCCCCCCAGTATGAGCATTTCTGTGGTTGTTTTGTCTGTATCCTTAGTTGGAGGAAACCCAAACAAATGCTTGGCCTTGGCTGGTGACCTGCACCACTGGGTTACTAGATTTCAAGCAACTGGAGAGGCTTTCTCCTCCCTTAACTAGGCAGGCACCAGGCAACCCCTCCACGTTCCAGATTTGAGGTCTTGTTTCTGCAAAACTCAGTAGTGTAGAGTTGGCTTGAACAGCTGTGGGGCTGCTGCTGTCTTGTGCTGCCAGCATGCATTGTGGAGGAGGATTCTTCTGCCTCCAAGTTATGGCAGTGCAGTCTGCTAGATGGAGTCTTGGGAAATCTGGATCACAGTCCTGGCCCTGCTAGTGATACTGGGCAAAACTCTTGGCTGATCAGTGCCCCAGTTCCCCTGTCAACAAGTGGTGATGATACTAAGCTCCTTTGTAAAACACACTGAGATAGATGTAGGGGTTAAGACCTCTCCTGAGGAGCCATCATACGTGCCTGTGGACTGAACCAAAAGGTGCATAGTATTGCATTCCCTGGGGGCTTTCATCTCTGAACTATTTCAAACTTGTAGCTATCAGTAGAACTTAACATGAGGACCTTGAAGGTGCTGAGCCTGTAGTTGCTGCTATCATGGGTGGAGGCTGAATGCCCGGCACCATGGTACTGCGCTTGGGCAAGCTGGGGAGGGGGATGGTGAAGTCCCAGCTCTGCTCCATTAAAGTGGAGCTTCCTGCACCCACACGAGTGGGGGAAGGTGTTCTGATCAGACTTGGCCCTGCTACTTTTCTTGGTTGTGTGGGTCCCGAGGACCAAGTGCTGGGGGAGGGAGCCAGCATAGATGCACTTGCCCATATGCACTTGCACTTGCTGAGGTATGATTAATGCCCTTGAGGGGAGCAGCCCTGGCAAGTGGGATTGGGGCAATCTCTGGAACAGCAGGGCTTGTGTAGCCATGATGACAAGTGTGTGAGTAAGTCTTGCAGCGAAGTGGCTGCATGCTCAACCCTGTCTCTGGGCTGACTCCGTTCTCTTGCAGCAAGCATTCTGGTGCCTCGTGCAGATCTGTGAGAAGTACCTTCCTGGCTACTACAGTGAGAAACTGGTGAGTGAACAAGGAGTCCCAAACACCCTTTAGCTCTTGAGGCCTGTCTGGGATGAGCTAAATCCTTCATTCTAGGTGGTGGAAGGCACCATCTCTTGGGTTGGAGGCTAGTTGACTTCCTCTTCCTGGGGCATTCCCTGCTAACTATCAAGATCCCATCTGGCCAGCCTCTGGCCCCCACAACTTGTCTGTGTCCTGCTGTCGTTCAGGAACAGAATTTGAGGGATGCTTGAGTCAAAGCAGCATCCTGGAGCAGTGACCTTTTTTTTGTTGCCTGTTTTCCTAGCCTCTGTCTTCCTTCAGTTGGGTAGTGCAGTGTGGGCCAGACTTTGTTCTCTGGCGTTGGCGGGGAAGAGTCAGGGTTTGGCACTAGCTGTGGTCACTGTCAGCAAAATTCAATGCCTATCTCAAAGCGTGCCAACAACAAGGCCTAGGCTACAGCAGGAGTGCAGCTTCTCACCCTAGAACTGCATTAGGTGCTGCTCAAGATGGCTATGAACACTAGCCCCTTATCAGCACCCGCACTGCGCAGAGGTCAGGACTGTGGAAGAGGAACTGTCCAGTGCATTTCACTATATATCAGAGTTTTGACCTGATGGCTTGAGCCACTGGGCTGGGAAGCCAAACGCCAAGACTCCAAACTCAGCCAGACTCCTCTTTGGCAAGCGTATTTATTTTTGATTATCCATTTCCCATCTGGAACATGGGGGAAATCACTTCCTTTGGCTTGCCTACCTTGGAAGCAGTGAGTCTGTTCCCCAGGTACTGCAGTGAGGTCCTGATCTCAGCTGAGGGCCCTTGGGCACTCCTGTACTCCAAGGAGCTTGTGCATCCAAGAAACATCTGTCCCATCCCACCCTGAATAGATCAGGTCCTGATGGTTGGGTTGTATGGGGTGATGAGGGAAGTCTGGTACTCTGCCAGGGAATCAAAAAGCAGCTGAAGGCTGCTGGCAGCCTTGGTAAGTGACTGCCTTGCTAGTCTGCACTGTCCATCCTCTTCTCTACATGGCAGAGGCCTTTACCAGCATTTGGATACTGCAGCCTCTGATGTACTGATTAGGCAGGGAACAGCCCCCTCATGCTCTGTACTGGATCCTCTAGAGCAGTAATGTCTGTACCAAAGAAACAGGCAGAATATTTGTGCACATCTGCATTGAGACCGAGTGTTGGACTTCCCTGAGGTGGGCCCTGAGAACTCTATGGCTTAACTACCCGGTCTGGAGCAGTGAGCGCACATCAGGGAGTTGGCTCAGAGGTGTACAGTAACAGAGTTGTGTGTGCAACCTCAGTGGAACATGAACCCTGGTCCTTGCACACTGAGCTCTTTATTTGCAGCAGTAAAAGGCTGTGCTCTCAGGAATGGATTTAGCTTCTGCTCAGCTAGGAGGCCTGCCAGTCACCTCTGGCCCTGTCCAGCCTGGTGATCTCATCCAGCCTGCACTGACGCTGACTTCAGGGTAGACCCCATGGGAGCAGGGGTGCACTGGACTCCGTAGTTGAGACAAGGACTGACTAACCATCCTGACTTTTTTCTTCTTCTCTCTATCTTTCTTGGGTTGCTCAAACAGCCATAGTTCCTTGTCAATGAGGGCAACTTTTCTGCATGATGCTGCTCTGGGTGTGGGTTATTCTACAGTGGAGTGGAGCTGACTGGGGAAACTGGTACTGGCAGATGTCCCTTGGATTGGTATCCAGAGACTAAACTCTTGATGCCCAGAGCAGGCCAGTGACTCGAGCCCTGGGCTGGGATTCATAAGAATGCAAGAACTGCCATGTACTGATTCAGACTGCAGGTCCATCTTGCCCAGCTTCCTGTCTCGCACAGTGGCAGAGAGTAGATGCTGAGGGGAAGAGTGAACCGGGTATGACTAGGGTTTGTTCCACTCTCTCACTTGCAGCCTCCAGCATGTAAGGTCTAGGAAGTTGCAGAAGCTGCATCCCAAACTCCCATGCTCATTAACTATTGATGCACCTTTTGCTCCAAGAATTTGTCCAGTCCCTTTTTGAATCCGGCTAACCTGTCAGCTTCCACAGCATCTGGCAGCAGAGTTCCACACTTCAGTTGCACCCTGTGCGCGAGAACTTCTTTTTGTTGGTTTTAAATTTTCTACCTGCTCATTTCATTGTGACCTCTAGTTGCTAGATTCTGGAGATAGGGTTCAATTCCTGCCACAGGTTCTTTTTGTGATCTTGGGCAAAATGCTCAATACCAGTGTGCCTCCTTTTCCTGTGTATTTAATGAGGATAATAACCCACATGCTGGTGCTGCTGGGCCCTTGTATATCTATGCTGGGAGGGGGCATTGCATGGGATACTTAGATGTCACAAACTATTCTGCGACTATTAACCCTTGTTTCCAGAGGGGCTTCCCCATGAGGGATTACAGTAAGGTCTGATCTTGTCTCACCCATGGTGCCTAGTCTGGGATGGGTGCACACCAATGGGCTGGCTATGCCTGTGTCTTTACATGGGAACTCTACTATTAGAGATGGTAAATCATTTCAAATGATTTACCATGCCTTGGTTGCTGTCAGTCTGAGCCAGGCTTGCACCCCAGGCTGGTGTTGCGGGGGGGGGCGTTAAATAACTTCCTGCCATTCCTGCTTTCCCCATGGTGTAAGCTTCTGTAGTTTCAAAATGGGTTGCTCCTGCCACCTATTCATGCCTTTTTCCTGAAATGCAATTGGTTCATTTCCCAGGACCATCAGTCCAATCCCCAAGAAGATGCATAGCAAACCAAAATCCCCAGCCCTGCACTACAAATTCTTCCATGGTTGGGCTGTACTCTTCCTCCCCCACCCTGCAGCCATAGTGTGCTCACACCTTCCCAGCACCTCCATGGTGTGGATTTGAAACACCTGACTTGTCAGGGAGGTGGGGCTTATGAGAAAATTAGAACCCAGAAACTGAATTTAATTAGCAACCACTTGGCTGCCTCAACTAGAGCAATTGCACCTGGCTGCCCAGTTTGGGTTCCTCCCATGCTTGGCTTGGCTGGATGTGGTGGTGGCAGGTAGTACTACATTGAGAAAAGGACACAGTTGGCCTGTAGGGTTATGGCCCCTCTTGGTCCGTAACCCTGCTTACTCCCCTGCAGGAGGCAATCCAGCTAGATGGGGAGATCCTCTTCTCGCTGCTGCATAGAGTCTCTCCTGTGGCCCACAAGCATCTGAGCAAGCAGAAGATCGACCCAATCCTCTACATGACGGAGTGGTTCATGTGTGCATTCTCCAGGACCCTGCCCTGGAGCTCTGTCCTGCGTGTCTGGGACATGTTCTTCTGTGAAGGTACAGGGATGAGGAAACCTTGGGTGGCATTGGGGAACAGGTTTTTCATCCCTGCTAGCTGATGGGATGGCATTGCTGGTTTAGCCAGCCTGGACTTGAGTACAGCTGTCTGCTCTGAGTGGGTCGCTAGAGGGTGGTGTTCCAAATCGGGGGACCCTGACCCTGTGGCTGCCTCTGTCCCATCTTCTTGCTTGCCCTTGGGATGGATTGAAAAGGTGAATCCATGTCCTGTGCTGGGGAAAGCACCATGTAATTACCAGTCTGTAGGCACAGGACAGTAATTGTCCAGCAGAAATGAGAAGCTGCTCTGAGTAGATTCTTTTACACTGCCTTACCACTATTTGGTGGGAAGGTAGGTAATAGCCTATATGCCTATAGCAAATCATTGCCCTGGGATAGAAGTGAACACACAATACTCCTGCATTACTATTTTCATTCCTGATTTTTACTGTGCTTTTCGCTGCCATTTCAAACGCATCTTGGACTGGATACCAGCTTTGGAGGGTGGTTCTGGTCTGACCTTGGAGAGGGCTTGGGATAGGTACTGGAGAGAACAGCCCTACCCTGAAATGCTACCTCAGGCCCTGGGGACCTGACTGCAAAGTGGCTCAGTTGCTAACTAGTGCACAGAGACATTGGGAGCCCTTAGCACAGCAGTACTGATCCAATTGCAGTGGAATGGTTTGCAGATGGCTCTGTTATGTTCATGGAACAGATGCTCCATTGAAATGCGTGTTATGCTTTGTCTCTTGTTGGACTCAGCCTTGTATCGGGTAGCGGGTATGACACTGGTCTGCAGTAAAAGGGCTTTCATGTCTTCCTGGTTGCAAGTGGGGCAGAAGGGCACACAGGGTTTGGATTTGTAGCTGCAACTAGGGCAGGAAGCTGTTCACTGGATTCCCTGCCCCCCCCCCCCCCCCCCCCCCCCCCCCCCCCCCCCCCCCTCCCCCTCTCACAATTTTTTTTGTTTTTTTTTTTTTAAAAAAAAAAAA